TATTTTTCTACTTCCATCTTACGAATCAGTAGACGGACTTCCTCCACTAACACCACGTCCAGCATTAGTAAGAGGACACCAAGGGCCTTATATTCCCCAGACCCCAGGTAGGATTTTGTTTGTTTGGTTTTATCATCACGTCAAAAAAACGATCATCTGAATGGACTCTCTCCAGTCAGCACCATTTATCATTCCCGCATACCTGCAGGAGCATGGGCCAACACGGAGAAACACCAACGAGTTGAACATTTAAGCTCAGCTTACTCCCAAAAGGACCATACATATTTTTGGATCAATGCCCTTTTTGTGATTAAAAAGCCAAAAGCTTGTATTATCCAATCAGAATTTTTTTCTGAAATATACATAACTATTTTTTTTCCAGACATTTGAAATTTAAAAGAAAAATGTGAAAATTCAGCTCCTAAARAAAAAAAAATTATGAACTCATGCTACAGGTTTCTTATAATGATTGTCATGGAAAATTATTTGGCACACAAGAAAGTGCTTTAACTTGAAAATTGTATCTTTGACTTATATAGATTTTCTCTTCAAAAGCTCTGGAAGTGTTTAATATAATTATATAATTCTACTAGCTAAAATTTAAAACTAAACAAGCAACACATTTCGAAATAATGAACTCAGAACAAAGACTTCCTCTTAAAAGTCCATGTGTCATCATCGTTCACTGAATGAGCTTCTTCCTGAAACAGTAAGAAACCAAGGCCTTCCTTCCCTCAGACCTAAGAGGTTAGTTTTATTTATTTGGTTTGGTTTTATCATCACATCAAAAAACGATCATCTGAATGGACCTTCTCCAATCAGCACCATTTATCATTCCCGCATACCTGCAGGAGCATGGGCCACCATGGAGAAACACCAAGGAATTGAATGTTAAACTCCTTACTCCCAAAAGGAACGTATTTTTCTACTTCCATCTGACGAATCAGTAGACGGAGTCCTCTACTAACACCACGTCCAGCATTAGTAACAGGACACCGAGGGCCTTGTTTTCCCCAAACCCCAGGAAGGATTTTGTTTGTTGGGTTTTATCATCACGTCAAAAGACGATCATCTGAATGGACTCTCTACAATCAGCACCATATGTCATTCCCGCATACCTGCAGGAGTATGGGCCACCATGGAGAAACACCAAGGAATTGAATATTTAAGCTCCTTACTCCCAAAAGGAGCATATTTTTCTACTTCCATCTGACGAATCAGTAGACGGACTTCCTCTACTAACACCACGTCC